TCCAGTGCTCCCTTGTTTCCCTCTCTGCTCACTCATGTGCCACTGCAATTCGGTGGGAGGTAGAGCTGTAAAACATTGCAAACCTCCTAGAGGAGGTACAGTCTGTGGGCTGAGCCTGTCCTGGACCTTTCTGGCTTTGTGTGCCTTGTGATGCCTTCAGCAAAATGTGAGAGCATGCCAAGCAGTCAGTGCTATAAATCCCAGGCTTTTCTGATCGTGTGTGGAGCTGCAGTGACAAGTGTTTCCCATGTCAGCTCTGGCACCAGGCTGAGGCTGTGCTGGGAGCAGCTCCTTGGGAGGCAGGGCAGGGTGGATCTGCTGATTGGTCTCTATATCTGCACCTCTCTGCACACAGGGGTGCTACCAGATGGCTCCCGGAGGTCCCCTCCCACCTGCTGGTGCTTCCCAGTCCCTTTACAGTAAGGGGTGTGTTGCCCACCACAGCCTCTTGCTGCACCTCTTGCAGCACCCACAAAAGGGGCATAAAGTGTTTGCTCATCCCCCAAGGCGTCTCTGCCTGTAACTTCAGTGGGTCCTCTTTGGGATGGACTCAAAAAGAAAAGAGCTTTGTCACTGTCTGCAAGAGGCAGGCCGCTGGTGGGAGCGGGGACTGTTGGCTTGCAGGTCACATCTGGCCTGCAGGACTGGTCCTAAAAATGTCCCTGTGTGCTGTTGGTGGACATGAAGTTCACCAGCTGTGTCCTCTGATGGCTTGGGCAGGCTCAGACTGCAAGTACTGCCGCTGAGTTAATGGACAGTGGTGAGTGCCACAGGAGAGTCTCCAAATCCATGTCATGCCCCTGCAGCTGTGCAGATCAGGTCACCCTGAGAGAGATTCCTTGAGGCCTGGAGCAAGGACAGCGACAGGATTGATGGCCTGAGTTTCCCACGTTGAGAAGGTGGGAATGCACCTTTGGAGCCGTTGTCTGTTGGCTCCCTAAGTATTTTTTTTGCCCAGGAAGGGGATTCCTGCAGCCACAGTGGGGTCCTGGTCTGCCTGCATGTGGCGGGTTGCCTGCTGGGGCTGTCTTAAGGGAATTTCTATCTCCTGGGAAAACAGATAATCCCACGCAGAAACATTTTTAAACATTTTTCTCAGCTCACCCTTGCCCAAGCTGCATTTGCTCTTTCTCACCTAAAAACCTTGATGCCAGAGCGGGTGTCCTGTTGTGTTGGTTATGACTTTAGTCTTCACATGTGCCACCAAATGTTCTGTGGAGTGTGGGAAGGAGGGAGGATTGCTTGGAGACAGAAGAGTGAAGTGGACCCTGGTGGACTGCTGGGCATGTAGCTGTCTCATACAGCACCCTCAAGCTCCTGCCAGGGCTCTGGGGAAACTGGGGATACTGGTTTGGCTCCTGCAGCCCCATCAGGACCTGCATCACAGAGCATGCGCCCCTGCCTCAGCCTCTTCAGCACAAAGTCCAGGCTCTTGGCTTGGAACCACCTTTATCAGCAGTTTCTGGTAGGTGCCAGGCTGTGGAGCTGGGAGCAGGATGGCTCCGTTCTGTCGACCTGGCTGCTGGGTGAGGAGGGGATGCTGTGTCAGGGACAGTGTGCCAGAGCTGAGGATCTGCATTCCTGCTGGGAGCCTGGGCTGCCCTCTGAGGCTGTCCCAGCTGCTGCTGGAGCCCTTGGCTGCACTGCACATGAGTGGTACACCTGGAGCAGACATTACAGCATTCTTGCTGTACGTACAAATATTTCTCCAGTAATGCCAGGTCTCTGCCCAGCACTGCGAATTTATTCCCTCTCTTCATTTACCTTGTCTAAAATTCCATTAGAAATTCCATTGGATGCAATGAAAGGCAGAAAACCAGTTGCTGGGTGTTTGGTGTCATTTTCCCAGATAAGGCAGTAGATATGTCTCCTTGACTGAGTTCAGTGGTCCTACATCAGATGTTCCAGTTGAGGTGGAGGGACATTTAGCTATGGATCTACTGTAACTCTGGCTATCTGGTCCTGGTGCAAGGCTGAGAGGCATTTGCTCACCTGGATGCCCCTGTGAGCCTCCCACCCCAGGGCTCTGTGCCCCAGCCAGGTGTGGCTGCAGGAAAGCACAAGGTGTCTGCACAGCTTTGCCCTTGGTGTTTGTCAGGTGCATTTGGGAGTGAGTGTCCAAAGCCGGGAGTACTCTGGCTGTGGCACAGCCTCGGGAAGGGTTTGGCTGTCACAGCTGTGTGGGTGCTCCCACTTGTGCCTCATCCTCTTGGTTGCTAAGGAATAATCTCCTCATGGCTGGGCAACCCCTTGCCTGGACAAATGATCAGGTTCTGGCTGCAGGCAGCAGATCAAAACTCAAGACCTGCTTTTCTCTTCTTGGCTGTGCCAGCATCTGCTCTGTGGCCGCAGGCAAAGCTGCTCCTGCTGTCCCGGTGCCAGCCTCACACCACTGGAGCCCTGGCTCCTGCTGCAGCTGTTTGTCTGTCCCCTCACACAGAGAGGCCCTGTTTCTCAGGAGGGGGTCAGGCACTGCCAGTGCAATGAAATTACTTACTGCCACCAGACATGCAGAGGGAGGGTTGTGAGACACCAGAGGTCTGAGACATCTGTCAGCAGCTTTTAAAGGCTCGGCTGTGAACTGAGGCAGGATCCAGTGTCCCCCACTGCTTGTGCTGAGCTCCTGCGTGGGATGAGCAGCACTCACTTGCTCTCCACTTCCCAGGACAATGCTGTGAGGTTTTCCTGCAAGGGGTCTTCTCTCTTCTCAGCTGAAGACCACAAGATGTGTTGCTGGTGCCCTTGGTTATGTTGCTGTGCCCTGGAGGGTGCCAGGCGTGCATGGCCTCTGCTAGCCGTGATCTTGGCTCAGCAAATGCTGTGTCTGGCCACATGTCCACCAGCACAGTCCCACCCTCTCCATCTCCTACTATGGTCTCCACCATGAATTGCTGGATCTCTGCTCCATCCATGCTCCACAGCCTCCCTGCCTGCTGGACTGCAGCCCTTTGCTTTGTGTTTTGTGTTCCACAGTGCTCTGCAAATGCTAATTAGTCTTCTCAGCACCTCAGCGAGATAAGGGATCCCTGTTCATATCTTGCAGATAAGGAAAGCAGCAGAACTTGTTTCAAACAATCTCCTCCCTCCCCCGCAGAGATGATGGAGTCTGTGGCACCTGCCCCTGCAGCCTGTGCCCCTTCCTCCTCTTTCACTGCTGCTTGTGAGGCCCCTCTCTTTGACGGGTTCCCAAAAAAATAGCACAAGAATATCTATGGCCTTGAGGGCTCCTGAGGTGAAGCAGCTGGAGGAGAGGGCTGGATGCCATTGCTGTGAGCGCTGTGCTGTGCAGGGAGCAGGCACCTGGGTGGGATCCTTGCAGGGAGAGAGCTGTCCCTGCTGTCCCCCAGCCCCGGAGATCAGCCTGATCAGCTGTGCCAGTCCCATCAGTGCTGTTGGAGCAGGCTGGGTGCTCTGTGTCTGTGGAAAACCGGGCTGGCTGTGGGTTTGTGCTGTAGCTCCTGGTGCCTTTTGAAGCTATATTTAGTTGGTGACATCTGTGGGCGTTGAGTGGAGGATTTTGGGGGCTGTTTTGAAAGCGCTGGCTCTTCCTACACTAGCAGGGAGGTTTAAAAGCCCTGTGGCAAGCTTTGTGGCTGTGGAGCCAGGATTCTCAATGAAGTGCACATGGAATGAATGAGGGACACGTGGGACTGTGGCTGCTCATGAAGGGAGGCACTGCAGGTGGGCTGGGGAGGTGCTGGGTGAAAAGGGGAGGGTTCAGGGATCCAGCTGAGAGCTTGGACTCTTCTGGACTTGAAATCCCCATGCAGGAGCCATAGAGATGGGAACTGGGGAAGAAGAGTGCACATGGCTCTGTCCTGCCATGTCTGACTCTGCTTTATTGACACTTCAAAGCCTCCAGCTCTGAGCAAGGCCAGGATGAATCACTGGTTTCCAGGCTCAGAAGAGGACCGGTTTTGATCATCCAGGCGAAGTTGTCCAGCCTTGTGAAGGAGATCAAAGGCAGCTTTGAGCAGAGCTGAACAGGCTACTCAGGGTGTTTCCCGGGGCATCCCCAGATAGCCTCACCTCCTACCCCAGTCAGGGCTGCTTTTCTTCTAAACAAAGCCAGTGAGTCAGCAGAAATCCTCCTGCAGGAGCCTGGCACAGGCTGCTGGGCTCTCCTCCCCCTGTGGAGCACCAGCGTCCTGGAGGAGACCCTCATCCATGTGGGGCTGGTTTGTGTTGGGCAGAGTTGTGCTGCTCTGTTGCTCAGACTCTGTGCCCTGTGTGAGCCTGATCAGAGACCTTGCAGCCAGACCTGAGGGACAAAGCAAGGTGAATTCTTGTTTCTGCTTGTGAGAAGGTGTTGTGTGAGCTGGAGCCAAGCTGGGCCATGGTGAGGTTGAGAACGTGACTTGCTGTGAGGTCTGTGGTGGTGTGAACCCCAACAGCCTCACTCTGATGTGTTAAAACACCCCTCAGGTGCTTCAGTGCCTAAATACTTAAAGCTGTAGCAGATTTAGGAGCTTGATGTGTCTGGCTCATTCTCTCTATACATTTCCTCTCTTGAAATTACTGTCCCTGCTGGGATGCATGACTTGAAACCAGGATTCAGCAGCCACAGCCTTTTGCATCTCTCTGTCAGAGCCCTGTCTGCTCCCTGGGGAGCAGTGGCCTCACGGTGCTGGGGTGGGTCTTGGCTTTTCAAGGGCACGTTTGTTTTGCGGTTCCGTGCTTTGCAGCATGAGCTGAGCTCCTTGCCCCTCTGCTCCCTGGCTGGGGAGGGCAGAGCTAAGGCAGGGACTGCCATGCTGCAGCAGGATGGGTTAAAAGTCCATCTCTGGGTCACCTGCATGAGTCAGGAGTTCCCTGATTTTCATGGGGCAGTTCTGAGACTCAGGTCAGGAGCTGGCTGTGTTTTCTGTTTACCTTTTCCTGGGAGCCCTCCTTTGCTCAAGGGGGAGCTGCTTTGCTTCCTGCCCACTTCTCTCCAGAGCCAGCACTCCCACTCACAGCCCTCAGCTGTGTTTTAACATTTTGTTGTCCTTCTCTTGCAGAACTTACAACTCCAGCGAAAGTGGTGAGGGCTGCCAACCCGAGACAGAGGAAAGGAAGCAAGGTAAGGCTGTGCCTGCTCTCCTCTCGCTGACCCCCAGTTTCTGGTGCAGTTCTCAGTGCTGCATGAGCCTCTCGAGGGTCTGGAGAGCAGAGCTCTCCTTTCACAAGCTTGGTTGTGGAGAGGCTGATGTGCTGACCTTGTTCTCTATCTCCTCTTCAGCATTTTAGGGGTCTTGCATGCTGCTGTGACTGGTTTTCTGCCCAGCTAGGTCAGGGGAGACCTTCTCACCTCCCCTCTAGCAGGGAGGCACCTGGAAGAGTCCTGGATGTGGAAAACCTCTCATCCGCTGTGGGGACACCCCAGATTCCTTGTGGGCCCAGCCCGTGCCCAGCCCTGCAGTGCAGGCAGGGTGTGACAGTGGTGTGGCTGCAGCTCTGTCCTTCCTTGTGCAGTCTGTTCCTCCCTGGCACACAGAGAGCCAGGGAAATGGATGTCAGACAAAGCAGCTCCTCTGGAGGAACCAGGGCAATTTGTTCCAGGCAATGGGTGGTGATGGAAGGACAGTTTCTTCTGGGGCACAGCTGGGGACAGGAGCTGTTGGTGTTGGCTCCCAGCAGCCAGTAGAGGTGTATCTGCAACTTGATAGGACTTTACTTCTCTGTTCCATTTTGGAAAGAGGAAAGCCCTGGGATGGATGGTGCTCCTCTCTGTGAAACAGGCATGGCCCTGCACTGGAATTGGTTTTCCCAGGAAACTTGCCTCCTGGGCAGAGGAGCATGGCACCTGCATGTAAAGATGTGATCTCCTGAGGGATAAAAAACTCCTTTGATTCCAGATTAATTCAGAAATAGCAATCCCACAAGGGCAAGGAGGAGTTTCTGTGCCCAGATAAACTCGGTGACCAGCTGTGATTCTTTTGGTGCCTGGGCAGCTGTTTGGCTTCTTTCCTGTGTTCTGCAGGTCTTCTGAAACCTGAAAGAGATAGAAATGATGGTAGTGAGCAGTTCATTTATTCAGCAGAGAAGTCATTGATGTTCCCCTGTGTGCCCATGGGGTGATTGGAATGAGGGAGTTCCCTTCACCTGCTTGAATTTTCTCAGCCACTCTGAGACCATGCCCGTGCTTTGTTGGCAGCACATGGTGGTTCTAGTTGGGCACTTGACTGGGGCTGTGCCTGGCTGTGGCTGTCACTAGCTGGAAGAGCTTCTTCAGTGGAATGCAGTTGCATCAGGTGTATTTAGAGTGCCATAAGCTGAGTGCTTTCCCTGTCTAAGGGATGGTGCCTGTAATTGAGTGAATTATCCTGGGCAGCTTCCTGCCAAATGCTGCTGCTGCTGGGGCAGAATATTTAGTGAGAGGCTGGGAGCTTGCAGGAGTGGTGGCAGCCTCGTTACAATTCTGATGGATGTAAATTTGGCTGCAGCTATTTGGAATTAGTTCAGGCTTCCTGCTTTGGTGGGGAGAGGGGTGGTATATGTGCAGTGTGGGTGTCCCCCTCCAGCCTCCTGTTTTTGGGACAGTGATGGGTGGAAAGTGTTCTTCCCTGCTGCAGGGAACACCTGCAGCTTCCTGCACTAACAGGACCTTTCTCTTTGGTACAAGGTTGGTGACTTTGGTGATGCCACAAATTGGCCAACACCTGGAGAAATAGCCCACAAGAGCGTCCAGGTGAGAACACAGAACCATTGTGATGGGCAGGATGTGGCCCTTGCAGACCTCCCTATCTCTCTGGAAGCACTGGCTGAGCCAGGTCATTTGGGGTGCTGAGTGTCAGTGTGGAGGCAGCCAGGAATGGTGTGCAGGGAATTTCCTTTTAGGGCTGCCTCCCTCCCTCAGTGCTATTCTGGGAAGCTGGAGCCCATTCTAAACCCTGGGCTGGCTGAAGCAGGTAGGCCAGCTCCCAGACCTGCTCTCCTCGGGGCTGCTCTGTGCAGGAAGGGACCGGGCCAAAGTCAGGAGCTCCACAGGAGGAACTGAAAATGCATGAGAAACGTTTGGTGTGCTGAAGGGACTCAGCCCTTCCTCCCTGCTGAGGACATGGGTGTCATTGAAACCTTTCTATTTTTGAATGCTGCTCTGCTAGCTCCTGCCTGTCTGTCAGGGCAAGGTGGTCACTCACCCTTTTGTCACTGAGGCTGTCTGGTCCTTTACAGGACAAACCCATCCATGAGCACGAGGTGTCCCTGTCAGCCCATCTTGGTGTCTCAATGAGCCCTTACCCTGCTCAGCCATGGGCCCTTCCCTAGGAGCAGGACAGCTTGGGAGGTTCAGAGCAGGGATGCACCCAGCCTAGGGCAGAGTCTTCCTGTTCAGCTGGGACAGCTGGGCTCTGCCTCCAGCTCCTCACTACTCCCACCTCTCACATTTTCCTGCACTGGTGTGTCTCCAGCAGCCACACAAAGCACCGTCCCTTCGGAAGCTGCCTGTCAAGAAGGACATGAAAGAGCAGGAAAAGGGGGATGGGAGCGATGGCAAAGAGAGCCTGAAAACCAAATCGGATGAGTCTGGGGAGGAGAAGAATGGTGATGATGACAACCAGAAGTCAGCCCAGAAGAAGAAAGGTAAGGCAGGAGTTGGTGGGGATAGTCCCCCAGGCTCATCTTGTCTTCCCCTTTCCAACCCCTAGGCAGCTGGAAGTGTCCTCTGCCTTTCCTGGGGGCCTTGCAGGACATGATCCCAGTGCAGGGACAGCTGTGGGAAAAGGTGTTTGCAGGCTTCAGGTGTCATTTTGGTGGGAGCAGGTGGAGCAGGGCAGGAGCCTGCCTTGCTGTGTGCTCCATGGTGGCACAGAACAGCCCCTCACCTTGGGTTGTGTCAGCTGTGGTTCACACGTGGGCTCAGTCCGGCCTGAGCCTGGGCAGGCAGAAAGGGGCAGAGGAAGGACAAGTGCTGTGACAGTTGCCACAGGCAAGTTCTGACTCATGTCCCTCCTTGTCTCAGAGTCCTGGTTAGAGCTTTTATGCATCCTGTGAGGCCTGGAGGGATGTCAGAGGACAGGGTCTGTCCAAAAGGCCCTGCTGCTTTCTGCCCTCCATGTGTGGGGGCTGTGGGGGAGGAAGCAGATACACTCTGAACCTGTGTCACACCCAAACCCTGTCCTTTTGCAGGCAGCAAACACAAGTGGGTCCCTCTGCAGATAGACATGAAGTCAGAGGTGCCCAGGGACAAAACGGCCTCTCGGAACAACCGGCAGAACGAGCAGCACAGGCACCCCTCCAACAACCGCGGCGAGCTCAAAGGTGGGGGCTCGGGCTGGGGAGCCGCTCCTGGCCCGGCCCGGGCAGAGCACGCCCTGGTGCCCAGCTGCCCTGCAGTCAGAGGGCTCTGCAGGCTCCCTGCGAGCACTGGGCTTGCTCCAGGGAGGTGCTGTCATGCCCTAACTCCCCTCCTGCCTCTCCTTCCCCTGCTGCAGGCTGGCACCCCGACAACAAGCACGAGCGCAGCTGGCAGGACCACGATGAGACCTCCAGCGTGAAGAGCGAGGGAGGGGCCGTGCGAGGAACCTTCCGGGGCCGGGGCCGCGGCCGGGGCAGGGGCCGTGGCCGTGGCAGAGGAGGTGATCACCGTGTGTGTGACTGCAGGGAGAGGGACACAGCAGGCAGAGCTCTGTGTCTGTGTGCCTGAGAGATCTGGGACTCTAAAGTGGGCTGGGGAGGGCAGAGCACTCCAGGGATACAGGGGAATGTTTTGGCAGGTCATTCCAGCTGGTAAGTTGAGCTGCTGTTAACAAAGCAAATAATTCATACTAGTACTTTTATAAAAGCAGATGTCTTCCTGCTACTCATGATAAGCTCTTTTTCATGTTTTCTGCCCCTTGCAGTAGCTCTGTGAGCAGGATTTGAAGCATGTTGATAGTCTGTGAAGGCTTTATGCCATTTGAGAACCAAGCAGGTGTAATGGCTTGGGTGAGAAAGAGCACCTGCCCTGGCATTTGACTGGGCAGTGTCTGTGCTAACACTGTGCGGCTTCAGTGTGGGGCCTTGGTGTGTCAGCTGGGCTGCCCAGTTACCCTTGGGTAAGAGGGCTCCTGGCCTCTTCTGTGGCGCAGGCAGAGAGCAGGAGGATGAGGGATGTGGGTGCTCCACTGCAGGCTTCCAAGGGGTCCTCAGGAAGAGGGGAGTATTTGTGCAGGAGTCCACCCCAATCTGTCAGGGTGCAGACCCCAGGGGCTCTGTGCTGACCCTGGTGTCCCCCAGGGCACTTTGACTACCAGTATGGATACCGGAAATTCGAGGGCTCGGACGGCTCCCGCACCCAGAAGTACGCCAGCAACATCACCTACTACTTCGACAACATCAGCAGTGCTGAGCTCTACAGCGTGGACCAGGAGCTGCTCAAGGACTACATCAAGAGGCAGATGTGAGCACCACCTCCTGTCCTTGTTGGGTGGTGGGGGCTGTGCAGCCAATCCCATGGGAAGGGTTAGAGTGAGGCATTGACTGTGCTTTGCTTCCAGCACCAGGCATGTCTGTGCTCCCCAGGCTTGCTCCCCTCAGTGTGTGTGTGTGAGGGGGTTATTTCCTTGGGGGTGCCCAGAGAACAGTGGTTTGAAGCTTCCTCTCACTGACACGTTGTCCATGCAGAGAATATTACTTCAGCGTGGACAACCTGGAGCGGGACTTCTTCCTGCGCCGCAAGATGGACTCGGACGGCTTCCTGCCCATCACGCTGATCGCCAGCTTCCACCGTGTGCAGGCACTGACCACCGACATCAGCCTCATCATCAAGGTGAGGGCAAGCAGAGGTGACCTTTCCTCCTTGTTCTGCCTCTCATCGCCCTGTGCAATGCCTGCTCACTCTGGATGAGGTGCAAGTGGAGCCTTCCCTTGTCCTTGACTTGCTCCTGCCTCCTATTAGTCCTCCCAGGGAGGAATGGCTTGGGCTGACCCCCTCAGTATGCCAAAGCAAGACCCTAAATTAACCAAATACTGCTTGGTTCCAGGCTCTGAAGGACAGCAAGGTGGTGGAAATCGTAGATGAGAAGATAAGGAGAAAAGAGCAGCCAGAAAAATGGGCTCTGCCTGGCCCTCCTATGGCAGACTACACACAGACAGACTTCTCACAGTTCATCAATTGCCCTGAGTTTGTGCCCCGGCAGAGCTTCCAGAAAGAGACTGGTGAGCACTGGGGGATGTGGAGGGAGGTTTGGGACTGCAGCACAACTGAGACCCTGAGAGTCAGAAGTGTTCCTAGGGAGGGCTCTGGCAGTGGCTTTCTGCTTGGTGGTGGGAGCTGGTGTGGGCTCTGTCCTTGGACCCCCAGAATGCTGCTGCCTTCAGACATGGGGTGGTGTGAGAGACTGCATGTAGCTTGTCCTCTGTTAGGGCTGAAGGGATTCAGAGAGAGTCAGTACTGCTGAAAGTTTCTTGGCATGCCTGGAAATAGTCTACAGCTGCTGGGCAGAGCAGAGGATGCTTGTGAATCCTTGTGAGGAGATACTGGGCACAAAGTGGGCAGCAGATGTGAAGCCATCAACCAAGTGCTGCAGAAGGGTCTTCTGTCCTTCATGGGCTTCCCATGCTCTTGTCACCTCATCCCACGGGGGCTGGCAGGAGCCCAGGGCTGGGCCTGGGAGCCCACGTGAAGGATCCTGGTGCTTTGTAAGAGTTTTGACAGAAGAACTGGCTCCAGACTCTCCTGGGAAGGTTTCCTGGAGAGCAGCGGAGCACCTTTAGGACTTTGTGTGTCTGGGATGCTGTCACCTGCAAAGCTCTGTGGCCACCCCTGGCATCATAGCTTTAACTGGAGATTCCCACTCTAGCACTTGTGGGCACCGTGCTGGTTAACCGTGACCACTGTGTGCCAGTTAGTCCTGCGGGCTGTGCCATGCTGCCAGCATGGTTGGGTAATTTGTAACTACACCCCTGGGTTCCCTCCCTCCCGCTAAAGCAGTTTGTGGCTCTTGTTGGCTCCAGAGTCTGCTCCAGGCTCCCCACGTGCTGCCAGCCCAGTCCCCACCAAAACAGAGGAGGTCAGTAACCTGAAGACAATGCCCAAGGGCCTGTCCACAAGTCTGCCAGACCTGGATTCAGAGACATGGATTGAAGTGAAGAAGAGACCCCGACCTTCCCCAGCCAGGCCCAAGGTAAGTGATGTAGGAGCTGTTGGACTGGGAGTCTCCCAGTGACTGGGGTGACTGGGATCATACATGGGCAGGCTTCAGTCAAGTAGGGTCTCTTGGGAGTGATGTCCCAGTCTCTCCTGTGTCCACCTGAGCCCCTTTGGAGCTGCTCCTCAGTGGTGTAAATGAAGTGTTCTCCCCAGATGGGCTGGGGTAAAGAAATAAGGGGCAAGAGCTGGGTCTTGTCTCGCTGTGTGGTCTTTACCCTGTGTCACCCTTGCTCCCCTGCCTGTAGAAACCAGAGGAGTCAAAGACACCACAGCAGCAGAAGCAAAAGGACCAAGACGAACCTGAGGAGCTCGACTTCCTCTTCGACGAGGAGATGGAGCAGATGGATGGCCGCAAGAACACCTTCACCGACTGGTCAGACGAGGACTCGGATTACGAGATCGACGACCGCGACGTGAACAAGATCCTCATCGTGACACAGACCCCTCCGTACCTGCGCCGCCATCCCGGCGGGGACCGGACTGGCAACCACACCTCCAGGGCTAAAATGAGCTCGGAGCTGGCCAAGGTGATCAATGATGGGCTGTACTACTATGAGCAGGACCTGTGGACAGAGCAGTTTGAGCCAGAGTATTCTCAGATCAAGGTGAGAGCGGCTGATCCGAGGGTGGGAGGGACCCGTGTGGCCTGTGGGGAGCCTTGTGTGCAGCAGTTGGGCTGGGGTGAAAAGGGCAGTGCCGTGGGTTACAGCCTCCTCGTGGGGAAGAGCTAAGCTGGAATTAGTCCTCTTGCAGTGTTTGGGATTCTTGGCTCCCAGCATCGTGTTTGGCCATACCAGGGATAAGCACAGCGCTGTAACCAGACGTGAGGCTACAGCCACGTAAACAAAGTGCTGGTAGTGAGGTGACCTGGAACACGGGGCCCATTGTTCTGCTGGCTGCCAGGATCTCAGCTGGCAGTGCCAGGTCTGTGAGGGGAACTGGGCGTCTCTGCACTGCCCATAGTGCCCTGTGCTTTGGGCACAGCCTGTTGGAGACTACGTGTGTTGGGGACAGATTCATAGGTGGCTGGGCTGCACTTGGCCTGTGCTCTTCTCCATTTTGGTGTCAGTTTGCACAGACATGGGCTTTTTATAGAAAGCCCATCTGCTGTTTTGAAATGTTTGGGTCCTAACTTGGTGACTCTCACTTCTGGTGACTTGCCTGGACTCATTCAGTGACAGAAATCATGGCTGTGAGGTGGGATGACTTATTGGAGCTCCCAGCTGGGCTTAGTGCTTCCAAGTTTGATATCCGGCCCACTGCTGAAGCAGTGCTGCTGTCTGGGCTGACACACAGGGACAATGTGTGTTGGGATGTGGGTCCTTCAGATCCATGGAAGCGCTGTGCCCGGTTCCAGCATGGCTGTGAGGATGTGGAGAGGTGTGCTCTAGCAACACAGGAGGGTGGCAGGGGGTCCTGGCCAAAAATGGGTCCCTGAGCTTATGTTGAGCTTTACTGCACCGGCTCTGACCTGGCTGGTAAAAGCCTGAAAGAAGCAGGTGCTGGTTAGTGAAGCTGCCATGTGGGGTCCCTGAAAGCTTGGCAGCATTGGTGGCTCAGATGTGGCCTGTGCAGGGCCCAGTTTCCTGTCTGCTGCATCTCCCCTTTCTATCCCTGTGCAGCCAGTGCCCTCTGGGCACCCGGGCCCTTTGACTGCCCCTGGGGCCCAGTGTTGTGGCTGTTGCTCAGGCAGAGCCATGGTTGTGAGTAGTTTCTTCACCATCTTCCTCCTCCAATGCAGCAAGAGGTGGAGAACTTCAAGAAGGTGAATATGATCAGCAGGGAGCAGTTTGACACCCTGACCCCAGAGCCCCCCGTGGATCCAAACCAGGAAGTCCCTCCTGGTCCCCCCAGGTTCCAGCAAGGTAAGAGATGGGGCAGGAATGGATGGGACCAACTTTGTGCAGGTTTCTCATGCTGACAGGTTCATGGAGGCTGGATAGCAGCTGGGGGGAAAGAACTGGGACCACAGGTGTGGTGGATTATCTAGCTCACAGAATATTCCGAGTTGCATCTTTCCCAGATTAATGCTCCCAGCTGAATGCTGTAGGGCTCTGGAAGAGGAGCCCAAAAGCAGGGGTGTCCCAGTGGGGTGAGGAAACCATGGCAGACTCAGGTGTAGTTCCTGGGATTTGGCTTTCCTCTTGGAGCCTCTCCGAGTACTTGGAAGGCAGCTGCCTGCTGGACCTTGTTTGCCTGTGTGACCCTAGGGCTGTGTCCTTGGGGACAGGGGTTTGTTGCTGCTGTTAACCACTAGGAAGCAGATACCTTGTGGGGAGCTCTTTGCATCTGTTGCTAGCATTTGGGCTTTCTGGCCAAACTGGAATTCAAGCTGCTCGTGTGGGAGAGCTGGGATGTGTCCCTGCATTCCTGCCCCTGCTGCTGGTGGTGACGCTCGGTGCCCGGAGCCCAGTGTGACATGAGGGGTGTTTTCTTCCCTGCAGTACCTACAGACGCTTTGGCCAACAAGCTCTTCGGAGTCCCTGAGCCCTCCACCATCGCCCGCTCTCTGCCCACCACCGTCCCAGAATCGCCCAACTACCGCAACGCCAGGACGCCCCGCACGCCGCGCACGCCGCAGCTCAAGGACCCGACGCAGACGCCCCGGTTCTACCCAGTGGTGAAGGAGGGCAGGACGATAGATGCCAAGGTGGGAGCAGGCTGGGCTGGGGGACGGGAGCTGGGGCTCCCAGCTGGGGCCTGAGGAGGAAGGGAACACATCCGTGATGCACCGTGTCTTGCAGACGCCGCGCAAGAGGAAGACGAGGCACAGTTCGAACCCTCCGATGGAGTGCCACGTGGGCTGGGTGATGGACTCCAGGGAGCACAGGCCCCGGACTGCCTCCATCAGGTACCGGAGACAGGCGTGCAGGACCGTGCAGGAGGCAGAAATGGGAAAGGGAGGGAGTGCGGGAAGGAAGGGGAAAGCAGCATCTGGTCTTGCAGGGGAGGTCTCCTGTTAGGTGACTGCAGAAAGGACAGGGGTCAAACCTGCCCTTCCTAGAAAGGCTTGGGGGAAATCTGTGGCCTTGGAGAGTAGCAAGATGAGACTTGATTAGAAACATTGCTCACCTTCCTAGTAGACTGCTCCATGGCTCATGTCCCAAGCCCAGGATAGTGACAGGGCAAGGGTGGGACCAAAAGACAGGTGGCATGGAGTGTGACCCGCCCTCTCCTGGCTGTTGCCAAGGAGGGGTGCTGACAGGAGTCTCTCACACCCAGCTCCAGCCCCTCGGAGGGGACCCCGGCCGTCGGGAGCTATGGCTGCACGCCGCAGTCCCTGCCCAAGTTCCAGCATCCCTCACACGAGCTGCTCAAGGAGAACGGCTTCACACAACACGTCTACCACAAGTACCGGCGGCGCTGCCTTAACGGTAGGGACCCTGCACTGAGGGGTGGCACAGGGTGTCCGTGCTGGGGCAGGAGCATGGCAGGGATGGACACAGGCAGGGTTCTACAGGACAGCCCTGCTGGTAGCTGCTGTATCCCCGTGGTTTGTGGGGAGCGTGGGCTGCACTCATGATGTCCTCTGCTGGGGCTGGTGTCATCACAGGGCCCTCCTGCACGTGAGCCCCTGGCTCCCTGGGGCAGGATTGGCTTTGTAATCATCCCCTCTTCCCCAAACAGAGCGAAAACGACTGGGCATTGGTCAGTCCCAGGAGATGAACACGCTTTTCCGCTTCTGGTCCTTCTTCCTCCGAGATCACTTCAACAAGAAAATGTACGAGGAGTTCAAGCAACTGGCTGTGGAGGATGGGAAGGAGGGATACAGGTAAGAGGGGAGTGATAGAGTACAGGCCTTTTCTAAGGGTTTGGCCTTTTACAGGGCTCACAGCAAATTAAGGCAGTGCCTCTGCCTTGCTTGAAGGTGGGTGTGGGGTTGTTCTCCATCTCCTGCTGCTGCCCTGTGTTGTGTGCAGCAGTGTCTGAGCTGCACATGATGCTCCCTTCCCAGGTACGGTCTGGAGTGCCTTTTCAGATACTACAGCTACGGGCTGGAGAAGAAATTCCGGCCAGACATATTTAAGGACTTCCAAGAAGAGACCATCAAGGATTACGAAGCTGGTAGGTGCCTCCTTTGGCTCCCTGGGGTTGGCATGGATACAGCTCAGCTGCATGGTCCTTCTGAGCCTCTGCTCATTGTTTTGAGGAAGCCACCTAGTGCTGTAGGTAGAGGACTGGGATGTCCTGTTGCTCATTTCACAGGAGAGGGTTGAGTATCACCATGGTAAAGATTGCTGGGGCTTGGAGGAGGGCAGTGGGAGGCTGCAGCTCTGCCAGAGCATTCCTGTAGAGGCACCATTTCCTGTGGGATTTCTCAAGGCCCTGCAGTGGCTGAGCCTTGTCACCACCAAGTCAGCTGAGCCTGGGGACATCCCAAGTTGGGGACTGCCCAGGACTGATGATGTATTTGCTTCCCTCCAGGTGTCCCATTTTGCCTAGGCTGTGCTCACCAGCAGGACAGTAGGGTTTGTGAGGAAGCCTGGAGGAAAAATGTCATGTTTGGTTTTTGAAGTCTTGCTGACATCTGGCTTGTTTGGTTTTTTTTTCCCTCCAGGGCAGCTCTATGGGCTGGAAAAGTTCTGGGCCTTCTTAAAATATTCCAAAGCCAAAAATCTGGACATTAACAGCAAACTGCAAGAATACCTCAGCAAGTTCAAGCGCCTCGAGGACTTCCGAGTAGATGTGAGTAGGCACAATTCCTGCACCACACTGATGGCCCCTGCAAACAGTCCTCCAAGGATGGAGGATTTTGGGGGTCCCCAGGTGGCAGGAGGGGGGCACTGACACCTACAGTCACTGCCAGTCATTGCAGCCAGGCCGGGAGCAAACTGCAGGATTGGAATGTGGCAAACCCAGTGTGGGTGAGGGAGCTGGGTGAGCCTGTCCTCCCTGGCGAGGTGAGGGAGGAGGAGGAAAGAGAGCTTTGATGGTTTGAGTAAAGCCAGCATTGTGTGGAGCTCTGGCTCCCAAACTTCTGGCCTGTGCCTCTGGGTGGGAAGCAGGTGACTAAGAGCAAGTTGTCACCGTTGTGGTCAGTTTGTGGAAGTCATTCAGTTTTTCTGTCCAACCTGGGAGCAGGAAATTTGGACGGGGAAGCTGAGTGCTTGGAGTGAATGTGTGTGTTCCTTGTGGGCCAGGCTTGCAGGAAGGCTGTTTCCTGATCCCGGGGTGGGCACCTACATTTGGAGGAGTCTGTGCTGATACTGGGGTGCTTCTCTTCCAGCCACCCATGGGGGAAGAAGGTGGACACAAGAGATACCCTACGACGTCCGGGGGAGATGGCAGGAAGCGCTACCCATCCCAGTCTTCCAGCAAAACGGTCAGCCAGTGCCCATCCAGCCAAGCCCACGCCTCACCCAGCCAGCCTGCACAAGAGGATGCCAAAAACCTGAGCCAGCAATCCCCTGCCCCGTCAGCTGCAGAGTCGCAGACAGTGGGGAAGTAGAGAGGCTGCAGCGTCCGCTTCCTGCCGGGGGTGGGGTGGGTTGGTGGGGAATGGCTCAGAGAAGGCAGACATGAGGGGGTGGGACAGGAAAGGAGCTGCAAGGTGGGTTCCCAGGAATAGGCTGCTTGGGAGAAACTTCAACGCACACGATTTTCTTCTCTTGTGGCTGGAAAGCAAAGACGATCTGCATCCCAAACACCGTTTTGCTATTACTACCCTGACCAGAGCCAGACCCGCTCCCAGCAGACCCAAGCTTTCCCTTCTCTCTCCTCCTGTGCACACACTCATGTCTTAGTGTCTCTTAAAAAAAAAATGTGTTCTGGCTGGGTTGGAAAGGGGAGATTTTTTTATTATTATATATATATATCAAGTTTTAAATTATTGCTAGAAGTTCGTCTGGATTTACCAAAACAAGTCTGCTCTGTGTGGCCCCAACGAGTCCCCTCTGTGTCCCCCTCGGATCGCGGGGCAGCCGCTCAGGAAGCTCGGAGGAGCGAGGTTCCCCAGTGGGGGACCGAAGCCACAGCGTGTGACGATGCTGCGGAGCCTCTGATCTCCATGACCTGGCTGGCGTCTCCCATCCCACGTGCGGCGGTGCCTCTCCAACACCGACCTCTGACAGGAGCATCGCCCTGTTCGTTCTCCCGCTCCCTTCTCCCCAGCGTCTTCACCTTCCCGAGGGTCTGGCTCTCCCTCTGTCCACCTCTCCCTTCTGTCACGGACAATTTGGAAGTGAACCAAAGGACCTTTGCCAAGGATAGGCTCGTTCTGACTCCTTCCTGCGAGGATGGCTGGTTGGGAGGCTGCAGGCACCTGGACTCAAGCCTGTGTGGACGGTGCACCCGCTGCCCCAGGAATGCCCATCGCTTGCAAAGACAGGACTTTGCTGAAGGAGCTTTTCTCTTCCTTTTCCCTTGGAAAAAATGACATAACGAAAAAAAATTCCCACAAACCCCTCTAAAACAACAGAAAAACTCTTTTAAAAAAAAGACACATCCCCCTTTGCTTTCTCCCTTGGAAATATTACTGAAGAAAAGAAAAAAAAAACAAACAAAAAACCCCAAAAATACACAAAAAAAAAGTTGCCTTATGGTGGAGCTGGAGCAGGGAGGCTTGTTGGCTTCCTGCACCATGGGGTGCACTGGGCTCTTGGCTCCCCCCAGGCCCAGAGACTCCTCACGGCATTGCTGCCCAGCTGATCTTCCCTGCGGCCTTTGCTCTGCCCACGCAGCTCGCTTGGAGCCTCCTGGGCAGGGGCTGAGGGCAGTCACAGCCCAGGCTCGTGCTCACGCCGCAGTCGCAGCCCTGTGTTGGTACTGTGGCAGCCTTGTCCCCACCACAGTGACTGTTCTGTCGTGGCCTTGCTCGCACCCCCAGCCCTCCCTGGGCAGGAGGTGGCTCTGCTCCTGTCTGTGCTTCCAGCTGGTTGGGGAGTGAGCAAGGAGATTGTCACAGCAGCTGGGGGCTGCTCCTGGCTGGCAGCGAGGGCTGCTGCTGCTGTAGCCTGACAGGGAGCGAGGCAGCCCTGGAAAGCTGTCCACAGCAGCCACTGGCTCAGGGCTGCCGGTGGGACTTGTGCAGGGGTGAGCAGGAGCTGCCTGGCACAGGAGAGCTCTCGCCTGGGTTTCCCTGTGTGTTGTGTTGTGGCAGGCACCTGCATGGAGTCTCCCACTCAGGGCTCAGTCCCTGTGCATTTCCAAGGGCCGAGTTGACACCGTGTGTAGCTCCTTACTCAGCTGAGGCAGGGGGTGACTGCAGAGCTGCTGTGGCATTTACTTGATTCATCCTTACACCCAGCACCAGGTGGACTTTGGCGGGCAAACCCTCCCCAGGCTGTGAGCTGGACCCTTTGTGAGGGGCACGTGTGGGGTGTGAGATCTCTGAGATGTCCAGTGCTGTCTCTGGAGGTGCTCCAGAGGTAGCACTGGGAAGCTGTGTTCCTTTCCAGTCAGACCTGCTTGCCTTGCTGCCACCGTGCTCCTTCTGCTGGATCCCTGAGATACCAGGCTTGGCTGTGGCTCCGTCCCTGTGAGCTCCAGAGCTGTGCTCCTGTGTGCAGCGGGCATGTGGTGCACCACTCAAAGGGTGCAGCTCCCTGGGTTGCCCTTTCTACCAAGTCGCAAGCTGGTACTGAACAGTGTTTTCCCGAGGGATCCAGCTGATCCAGAGCTGGGAGGAGTCATTATCTCTCCAGGGCTGTCCCTGTGTGGCTGCAGGGTGCGTGGGTGGGAGCAGCCAGGAACTGAGAGCAGGAGCAGGAGGGGAAGCATGGCCAAGCAATGGCTGTGGGTGCTTGTGGGGTCCTGGCTGAGGCCATCACATCCCAAACTGACCCTGCCTCCAGGATGCCGCCTTTGTGGGGCAGGTGGGCTGGTCCAGCTGGAGAGGCTTCATGAACTGCTGCTAGAATCGAAAGCACAGCTGGGTTTGAGAGGCTGGGGAGCTGCTGCTTGGCTGTTTCCTGGTGGTGTGATCCTGCCCTGGTCCTTCCACCCCTGCCGTGTCACCTGCAGCTGGTACCACTCACAGGCTGATTGCAGCAGGCGCGCCCATCCAAGGCCGTGGATCTCCGTTATGGCAGCAGTGCTCTGGGGTTGTGGGAACTGGGCAAGATGGGCAAAAGTAACACTTGTACAGTGCTGTGGCCGTGACTGTTATCTCTGGATTTCCCCTCTTGTGAGCTGGAGTCAGATCTCTGAGGTTACATTTATAGTAGGCGGGTTTGTCCCACATTTGGGAAGGAGGAGGCTGGAGAGTCAATCAAGGACATTGTAGATGTGTTGCTGGTTGTTTGCAAGTGGAGGCAGGTCTGGATGTGCCACAGGTGATCATTGCTGCTGTGTCTGTGCTCCTTTTGTTGGTGTGCGTGCGTGGCTCTCTTGAAGCCAATTGTCTGTGTTTCAGCAACAAATTCATAGGAAATGGGGAGGGATGAGCTGCTGCTATGGAATTGTTGCTTGTAGAGCAGACTGTGGAATTGCTTGGGTTGTAGAAGAGGTAGGACATTTCCCAGAGAATTTCTGAAAATACTGATTCTAAATAATTTTTAATTTCTGATCCTGAGGCTCTAGTCTTGGCATAGAAGTGTTTTCCCTTCCCCCTCTGCCAGGTCAGTGGTTTGTCACACTAGTGTGTGCACCCAGGGGAAGGTGGGTCAGAAGAGCAATCCCAGTGGTCCCAGTGCCCTCCCGGTTTGTGGACCGTGTGCCTTGTTTAGCTGTCCATGGGACAGCAGTGGGCAGGACAGAGCAAAGATGGATGTGACAGTCCAGGCAGCTGCTGCTGGCTCACGCCTGTGTTCCTGCAGGGAAAGGAGCACAGAGCTGCTCCCTCCTGCTCCGGGCCAGGGTGGGTGCTGGCAGAGGGCAGGGAGCTCCCCCGGTGCGTGGTCTGTGCCCAGCTGGGTCACGAGTGGCTGCGGCAAGGCTCGTGTCCCCACTGGATAAAGGGACATCTGTCCAGAGGGGGTTTGCGTTTAGGAAGCTCTTGCCCTTCTGCAGAGGAGGGAGTTGGGCCTTGCTTTTAGTTTGGATGCCTCACCTCCACCATGTGTTGTGCTTTTTTGAACTTTAGAGGACTGAGTGGTTGCACACGGGCTCCTGTGAGTGCTGATTGTCCCACAGCCCATGAGGGCTGCTTGGTGCTGGTGTCCAGCCACTGGCAGAGCCTGGGGGCAGCCCCAGCTGCTTCTGGAAAGGCTGAGGGAGGCTGAGTCAGGAGAGCACTCCTCATCCTGCCCCTCTTCTCAGGAGGTCCTCCGTGCCGAGGTTAACTTGTCTTTAGAATGCAGGTGGCTGCAGCAGGTACACAGCCGTGGTGTGAGGTCAGAGTGGAGGTGGAAGGTGTGTTTTTGATGAGGCTTTGTTGCTTTGCTGTGCTCATTTGGGGAAAAAAAATTAAAACATAATGCTGCTGCTGCTCTAGTTTTGCCTATCCATCTCTTCTGCTGCCCCCCGGCACCTCTGGTGGCACCTTCTCACTGTAGCCCTTGGGGTCCCTGGGTTTCGGCATCTGCTGGGGACTGATTGTTGTACTGTAACAAACTGATGTGTTTAACCTCAGTGTCCTGCCACATTCCACGTGGCAGTGCAGAGGGGGCCTTCTAGCTGTTAATGCCTTCCCAGATATTTTATCAAAAGTAAAAAAGAAAAAGGAAAACTGTAAATGTAGCAAGCTGTGTTTGCAGTGCTTAATGTCTCCTGTCTCTGAGGTTGGTTATGTCAATTGTCACTCACTGCTTGAAATGGATGCTGGGCTCTTCTTGAGAGGGTTGTTACACTTGATGTTAAATGCCTCACTAACTTTTTAAAAATATTCCAATACAGGTAACAGATAAAATAATTCCTTTCATTTTTCTTTCTCTAAGCAAATGTTCATCTCGGTGGTGTGGAGCAGGTGGCTGGAGGGCAGCATTTCCAGGAGTAGTTTACAGTTTCACTTTCTGCAGACACTTGAACATAGGACCGATGTACCTGTGACAAGCACATCCCTTGGTGGGAAGCTCCAGAGGAGCAGGGAGTGCCCTGGGTGCCAGCCGGCCCCTGTGGAGTGTGCTGGGGTTCCTCCTGCTCTCCCCAGGTGTCAGCCCTGCACCGGGGTGCCTTGTGCCAGTGGTGCCCTCGTGGCACCACTTGGTCCCTCAAGCCTCCCTGGTGCAGCCCTGCTCCCTGTCTTCCCCCCCAGCCTGTCCTGGTCCCACTGGGCTTGGAAACCTTTGGATCTGTGGCTCAGAGACACCCACTGAGCTGCAGCCCAGCGAGTGCAGCCTTCTGCTTCCTCGCCTGGAGCTAAAGGGTGATGGTTTGATGTGCTGGCCCTTCTCAAACCCTATGTGTCCAACCTCAGCCTTCTATTTCCCAAAACTAGAGAGTGTGTGCTACCTTCTTCAGCTGCATTTATAGTAGAGACAAACTTAAAATGACTCATCACAGACCATGTATCACTTGGGAGGAAAATCTTGTTAATACGGCCTGCTGTACATGATCCATCTCTGTCGATAGTACATAATCTTTGACCCATGTGCTAGGATCATCATCACGTATAAAAGGAAAAGAGAAAAATGTAAAATACTTGAATGAGAGCTTGTATTATAACATTAATATTATTCAGAGTATCTGCTTTCTAGGCTGATGTGATTCATTATTCTAGTAATGCTTTAGTCCTTTGTAATTTGTGGTAATTATGCTTTTTCCTTTTTAATACAAAAAAAATGTATAAAAATAAAAAGTTCAAAAGACAGTGGTGCCTGGGTTTTCTGCTCTGCTGACTTGCCCTCCCCAGGAAACTGTGGCTAGTGGCTGGGCTGGGTTCATGCTGGTGCAGCTGTGGGGACCAGAGGGGAGCAGGGGAAGTGACTTTGGCTCCACGGGTAGAGCTGGGCTGACAATGGTCAGTGCAGCACCGGCCAACCCTGTGTGCCTGTTCCTCGAGGGGCTGCTCTAGTACTGGGGAGAAATTTCTTTGGTTCCAAGCCCCCAGGCAGGACTGAGACGTGGGGAGATCCTTGAGAGAATTCAATGTGTCTCAGATGGTCTGTGGGTAATTGTGCATACTGTTCTGGGGGATGTTTTCTTGGGTCCTTTCTTAGAGGGGTTCCTTAATCTCCATATGGCTTAGGACAGCAGGGACTCTGCTTTCCTTGGAAAATCTCTGGAATTTATCAGAATTTTGGTTGTGTCTCGGAGCAAGGGGAGACTCAGCAGGAGGAGGTGATGCCATGAAGCACATCAGCTCCCAGCTCTCCTTCCATGTCCCACCAGGGGAAACTCCCTTTGTCTGCAGCTGTCTGTGGAGCAGTGATGAGGCTGTGGCAGCCCCAGTTCAGCCCTGTACCACCTCTGGTGCATAGCTGCTCACAGGAAGTCAGGCCCCTGTTACATGTGCAGGGGGGTGTTCCTAAGCTGTGGCCCCAGTGATTTCCCACGGGGCTGTGGTGTGTCCCAGGTGCTCTGAGTCACAAAAGCTGGTTTAATTGTATCACACATAGATGGAGTGACTTTGATGTTTCTATAGAGTGAGTGCCAACGAGAGAGGCCAAATCATGACCTGTGGAGTCTGGTGCTAAAACCTTAATAATGAAAACCCCCGAGCCATGTGGTCCAGAACACACCTGGCTCATACACAGGCAGCTGGAACCAAGGGACACTACAAGTAACAGAGAAACAAACCACTGCATTTTAAAAATCAATTTCTAGAGCAGGTTCTTTTGTGAATGTCTTAGAAAACAATGGCAGCCAAAGTGCAGTTGTTCCAAAGCAGCATATTTAACTTCAGCTTCATGATTTGTTATGTGTGGACAAGAATTTGTTTCCTGATTCAAATACTATTTGGCATAAATCATTGTCTCTCACTCTGCTCATCACCAGGCTGAGCAAGAGCTGTTGGGCTGGTTCACTCATCTTTCTTGGGTGGCTCTGGGATGCTTACAGAGAGTGGTGTGAAGCTGAGCAGGACCTTGTGTCTCTCGAAGGCTTTGGTCTGTCTGAACATTTTGTCTGTGCCGTGCAGAAAATCCAGCACTCCCAGCACTCCATAGCACTGGTTGAACCTGAGAACCAAACACAGATAAACATCACTGGAAGTTACTGAGGTTACCTTGCCCTTTCCATTCCTTTCTGAGCCCAGATAATGTCCATAGGATTTAATGTCCACAGCTGCACCAGTCTCCCTGGCAGCTCTGTCAAAGCCTGGGTGAGCCTTGTGCAGCTTCTCTCTGGTGCCATCATTGCCCAGAAATGGTGGCACTGAGCAGCAGCTGTTTGTCCTGGGCAGCTCAGAGCTGGGGGAGCACTGGACACCCACGTTACCATGCCCCACGTGCTCTCAAGACCTGGCTGTCCTGGGATATGGAGCAGATGTGCTTCCAGCTGGCACAGCTGTTCCACCCACAGTGTCTCGGCTCTGCAGTGATCTGTGTCCTGGCATGTGGTGACTGAAGTGTCCCCTGGGCTGGTTCTGCAGCAGGGGCAGACATTTCTGGGCAGCGTGTCTGAATGTAGTGCACACTGGGAGATGGGAATGCTTCTCCACTGCTTGGGTATGTATCCTTGAACAGTCTCCTGCAACTGCTCTCTCTCCAGCACAGGAGGCTGAGAATCTCTGTCAGGAAGGGTTAATGGTGATTGTCTAGGCAAAGTGTAATCTGATCAGTGTTACTGATCCCAGTGTATGGGAGGAGAGGGACAGGTAGGCAGGCTCATTTACTTTACCTGTGTGCCTTGCCCTGGCTCTGTCTTTAGATCACATGAACTGTATTCTGAACTTCTAGGAAGAACCCAACTGTCCTTAACAGGGCTGGAATCCCCTGCAATTCCAGTTTAACTGCTCTAAGAACCGGCAGCACTCAGCCTGCTCTCAGGTGAACTGGAGAACTGCTCTGCTGGTGCATGAGCTAGGCAAACCCACTTGACCCTCAGAAAGGAGCTTTCCCTGCCAGTGGTGCCAGCAGAGAGGCAGGAGAATGGAAAGCTGAGCAGTGCCCAGACATACTTGAGGTGGTGGAAATCGTGGAACTCTGGAGATGGCAGGAGGGGCAGGTGGTAGCCACAGTGAGAAATGCTTGTTGTTACAAGAGCAATGGAGAACCATGCTGAGACTGAAACAATATGAGATCCCATGATCATTGGGCCAGTCATGACAGGCAGAGTGTTGGAGACCTGGAAATGAGAAGAAAGTACTTCATTAATGGGTCCACTACAAGCAAACTCTCCTCCAAGAGCTGAATTGTCACCTGGTGATCCATCACACTGGTTTGTTTTGTTCAAACAATGTAAAGGGAAGATCTCTCTGCCAACACCTTAATTAAAGTTACATAATCATCCAAAAAGTAATAATAGAGATAAGAGAGTTCTACTACAGCAAACCATTGTCATAGCCCAAACTCCATAAGCCGGCAGTAGAAGTCAGACATGACTCCAAACCCTGGGTGAGTACAGCATGATTCCAGTAAATCACCCCGGACTCTGAGGTGTGAATTTCAGTTTCACCTTGGAATAATGCTGAATCTGCTCTTGGGAAACCCCACTGTGAAAGGGCACGGCCTGCAGACACACACAGCAATGTGACAAACCCTGCTGCATCTCTTCACTGTGCTCTGCCCATGGCACAAAAGGCTCTGGCTGCCCAGACCCAGCTGCATGTCCCAGCACAGCTCAGCTGGGCTCCTCAATCATTATGCTATCCAAAGACTGTCAGCTGGGGAGACCCTCAGAGCAGTTCAGGACTATTGGGAACAGGAGATAGAATTTTTAAGTGTAATCTTTTGAAGGTGGGATGTGTTTTCCTGAGAAGTCTCAGCTGGAGGGGTGTTGGGATACATTCCTTGCAAGCACTGATCCCAGCAACCACCATAAAAATCCTGACAGATTTCCAAGTCCACAGGATCATTCAGGCTGTCTCATATCTCTTGCTGAAAGCACTGTCTGTGCTCCCAGTCCTCTTGGGGCTCATGGGAAGCCCTGTCCAGTCAGTTCCTTATCTACTGGAGGCCCTTGGATCTGTGCTCTGAAAGCTACTGGAGTCCAGTATAAACAATTACTGCAAGCCTCCAAGAGCCAAGCTTCTTGGCAATGCAGCTCAGCTTCCTCTTCCTAAGGAAGAAGCCTCTAAGGGCATAATTTCTTCTCTTCTCTTCCCACTTCACCTCATCCCGTGGAAATCACACTCCACACAGCAACTGGAGGGTGACCATGGGAGAATCCACTTACTATGTGCTCTATTGGGTGAGCATAAATGGAGACCACGCCGATGGGGGCTGTCCACTCGTGGTGCTTCTTGTGAATGTGCTTATACAGCACTGGGTGGTGAACAAGCCTAGGCACAGTAAACAGAAAGGCAGGTTTTGAACTCTGCAGAAAAGGACTAACAGAACACAGAATTTCTGCAAGGGACTTACTTGTGTCTCCTCTAACATAAAGATTCCAGAGCAGCTGGCAATAAGAGTGTAGGACACCTTGCTTACTTTGCTCTCTTTGTATTGAGCCCTTATTCAATTAATGTGGTTGCTGGCTTATGATAAACTCAGGCCAGATAAATCCCATAAATCAAAGTCCCTGAAGTACTTATTTACTAAAATATTAGAGTACTATTAGGGGAAGACTCACTTTATGCTTTCACTGTTTTGACTTTTTCTACTGGCAACTGTCAAAGAATCAGAATTTTCAGTTCCATGGGTTCTTGGTAAAAAATGGCATTCAAATTTTTTGGGTGAATTTGTCCTAAAGGGAAACCTACAGATTTCTGAGAGTACTGTGCTTGTTTCTGCTTCTACTATGGTTGCTTCTTGCTTCTTTTGTCTTCCTTGCTTTAGTTCTGTCCTCTAATGTTGGTGTCAGTGTTTGGAAATCCTGCAGTGTTGGAAGTCAGGCCCTGATTTGTAGGTGCTGTACAAGGAAACAGAGATCAGTCACTGACCCTTGAGATTTTTGTCTTTCAGGATGGTCAGTGTTGTTCTTTTCAAAGAATGCTGGGTTATAGCTTCTGTGGAAAACTGCCTTTTCTGTTTCTTCCTTAGCTTTTAAGCTTTCCACCTTTAAAATTCTATTCATTTTTGTTTACTAGAGTTACTGGCAGCACCAAGGCCTCATGTTGTGAAGGTGGATTTCAGGACCTGTAAGATTTCCCATATAAAGACAAGATTGGTGGAACAGAGGGATGAGGATTATTGCTGTAGTAGGGTGTGAGTATAAATTTAAAGGCATGGAGGAAAATCAAGCACCTGTTCCTGTGCTCAGCTCACCTGTGTGTATAATAGAAGAGAATTTCCTCTACTACAGTAAAAATGCTTAGCTCCACAAGAAACCACTGGAAGGTTGGTAATTCCTTGCTGAAGGTGTTTTCCCACCATTTCATGATGTAGAACATGGGCACAAGCATGGGAAAGGAGACAAAGAGCTGATTACCCAGCGCTGTGTAGATGGCTTTCCACAGTTTTTTTCTGTCCACCTGCAAAAGAGAAGTCGGGACTTGAGACTAAGAAAGAAGCAATGCAGTTTTAGTTGGAAGGGTGAAAAGCTTTAAGATTTATAGGTAGGTAGTTAGTTTTGGGATCAGCTCTTTAACAAGCAATCAGTAGCCTCATAACAGGATCTGCCTTCCTCCCTGCAGTGGGTATACAAGATTTGACTTGATCCTCCTGGAATCCTATCTGGTTGCAAGAGAAAAGCATTAACAGGTTCTTCTCCCCATTCCTGGCCTAAGAGACTGCAGGAAGTGTTTAGCCAGCAGAAAGGCAGAGTGAGAAGTACTTACAGGATCATTCTTGCCCAGCTGAATGCGATAGCGAGTAATGAAAGTTGGCTTTCCTGTTATATCAGCCACCAGAAGGATTCCATTGAAGCCCCAGAAAGCAAGTGCAGGCACCAATGCAGCCCCTGTGGCATGAGGAAAGGAAAGAGATGTGTGAATGAATTGGGAACTATGGTAAATCAGAAACAAAATACACTGGCACAGTACCCAGAGGACCTTGCTGGGACCTGGATGTGCCAAGTGTGTGTCCCCTGCCCCAAGATGCTTTGAAATGGAATACTGGTAAATTCTGACATCCAGGTAAGATCAAAGAATGGCAAGGAGGTCAGAGCAGACAAATGTCTCAGAGGTTGAAACTTGACATAACTGAAGCTAAGAAAAGGCTTTTCTAGGTGGCTGGGAGGCCTCTGTTGCTTTTAAACCCAAGTAGGATAAGGTTGACTTGCTCTAGAACCTTTCAAGGTTCTTCCAATTCTGTTCACCAGCTGCTAATCAGAGAAAAGAGTTTTGTAAGTACTACAGCAAGAGTAGAATTCACTAAATTTACTTACATTTTTAGTAATTAGTTCTACTCAGTCATTCAGTTGTCACAGAAGAAAAGTGTCTTCACAGGGAAGCCACTTCAGTAGCAGCAAAAAGATGAGATTTTTAATCTGTACAGGGTCCTGATGGTGACCACATCCAAAAGCAGAACAGCTGCACCACATCACCTGTGGGTACCTTCCAAGCCAGTGCTTGTCAGAGGGAGGATTAGTGAGTTTGGGAAGCTTGTCCATGTCTCCCTTTTATATGTAACACATGGATGATTTCTCCTGAGAAGCATTGTTAAAACTCACCAACAAGGAAGATTGTCCACTCATCTCCCTCCATATGGTCATAGAATTCCAACCATGCTGTTTGCCAGAAACTGCCTAAAGTTATATACTGCATAAACCTGTGGGAATAACAGTGGTTGGTTGCCCATGTATTCATCCACTTTTCCCCCTTTCCACAGAAAAGTTTCTCTTCAAGCTGCTTTGTTTGAACATTCTTACCAAGAAGCAATGTTCACTAAGGCAGTGAAGATAAGCAGGCCTGTACTGAAGACGTAGGCACTGATCCTCAAGGCATCTGAGAGCTTCTTTTCCTGTGAGAAGCAACAAGAGTAAGCATGTGCTGTGTCCTGCCCTGGCACTTTTGGTATTTGAAATGATGAAGGCAGTCCTGTGATGGCCTGTTTTGCTTCACACACACTCTGAAGAACACAATAACAAAGCTGTTGTGGAATATTGTGTATAATCATCCATCTGTCATGCTTACAGAGATCTGGTGCATGACTGATGTGGAATTTCGTTGGAATAACCAAAGGCAGAGATGACCTGGTTAACAGGAATAAGTATATTCAAAAAGCAGTATTCAATATATTTGAATATTTAAATATTCCAAACAAAGTTGTTTAGCAAATATACAACAAATTTATAATTAACGCTCTGTCTTTTAGAGTAGTCCAAGTTGGAACAGGTTCTGGAGTGCAATTAATTTGATTTTCGTGAGTGCATATGAATTATATCTATCTGCAATGTAAATGTTTTTTAAAAAATCAATGCAATAGTATAATAACCAGGTATTGTCTTCTTCATTCCTCTTCCTTCCTGTTTTTTAACTGTGGTGTTGTGCTGCACAAACAGACTGGAGTGAAAACAGTGTGATTCATAGCTGCTGTCCTGCTCACCTCCTGTCAGAGAGGACAAACAAGAGAGGCAGCTCTGAGAAATGCCAAATGCAGGTGATTTAGGGTAATGCAATATAAAGGAATCCCCTTTACATGGCTTTTAGATTCTGTAACAGCTACAGAACATCAAATGTGGCCTAGGACTTACAAGCAATATTTATTTGTCCGAGGAAAGAACTTCGCTTTAGCACTGAAACATTCACTATTAAAACAAACAACCAACCATTTCTTCCTATCACCTCCTTTTTTTTTTTTTTAGTCTAAAAAGCAGACAGGGAGGAAGAAACTGACAGGACTCTTGCCCTACAATTTCATATTTGTGAATCCTATGGGTTTGTATGAGAGCAGTGCAATCAGCTGCCACTGTTATTACTGGGGGTACTGACGTGCACATGCCAGGCTGGCAAAAGCCTCTCCTCCAGCATCAGATTGTGCCTGCTGGATCCTGGACCAGAGATTTGCTGTCTTAGCAGCTTCATAATTCCAGTTGCATCCATGTAATGCCCCATGTATGCTTATGCAAGACTTTCTTAATCTTTAGACCCTGGACCATCACTTACATATTCTTCAGAAAAAAAAAAGGGTTACAGAAGTTGTAGAAAGCTTTGAGCTTTTTAACAGACTCATATCTTATAAATCCTTTTTCTCCTGGGATGAAGAGCATACCAAACAAAAATTGTCTTACAAGTGTTAGAATTTCCAGATAGCCCAAATAAGGTTTTAGTTGCTTTAACATCCTCCACTCAAGAATTTCAAACCTTTGTAACTCCTAATAGTCAGACACTGTGCATGTCCTCCTTTGAGACAGGAGAGAGAGGAGTTAAAATTCAGCACTTCAAGTATTTTAACAGCCCTTTGGCTAGAAACTGTCTTGTTTTGAGGCTGTGTTTTTATTGCATATGATGAAGTGATTACATGAATCCCACATACTATAATTACATGAAATGCAGAAGTAGAGAAGTTTACACAGAAAAAAAAATCTTGTTCATCAAGTCCAAGTGCTAAATACCCTGCTTCTCCTCACGCCAACAGCTACAGCACAGTAGTTTCCAAACTAATTCATGGATTCTTGCTTTTAAAGTGCTTGTAGAAGTTGGCAAATTCCTTAAGTGCAGAACAGGGTTGCTGCTGGCAAGGTAAGGAGACTGGGGCACATCAGCTGGCCATAAGAGTTTAGCAGGACCACTCTGAGGACCAGGCCCAGTGAGCTGGCACAGCTTCTGTTTATGGGGGCCTGTGGTGGGTTCTTGCCAGGAATGCATAGATAACAGGTCCTTCCCCACTTGCTGCTGGAGCTGCAGTCCACTGGAAGGGAAAAATGCTGGGGTAGTTTTGCTTTAGTGATAAGAGATGAGCTTCTAATTATGCAAAAATGTTTGGAATGAGGATGTGTCTGTCACATCTCTTAGAAGATGATTCAACACATTCAGCCTTCCTAAGCACCTGCATGACAAACGATGAGCTAGCTAGAGCCTTTACCTGCTTCTGCAGCTCAGCTGTGCAGGAATATCCAGAGTCTGTTTCCATCTGAAAAAAAAAGGTGATCTAAGTAAGTGAACCTTGGCCAGCTGGAGGGTGGCAGAATATGTTGCAGACAACAGCAAATCACCTTCACTTGCAGTTCAGTGCTAAAAGTGTAAAATATTTACTCTCTGTGCCACGTCCTGTCCTGCTCCATCCTTTGTGTGTTGGCCATGGAGCAAAGCTGAGTTCTTGAGAAGAAAAGTAACCTTATTTCTTGAGGAGTTAGTAGTGTCCTATAAGATTAACAGGGATGCAAGGATAACAAGGAAAATGGGAGAACAGCCAAAACCAAAACTTTTGCTTGTGTCACTGGTGTGTTGAGGTAAGACTTCCTCCCTTGATCCGGCCCAGGAATACACTGCAGCACCCAGCAGCTACTCCAGCCCTTCCCAGGCTCTAAGGAAATGATAATGTGCGATATATGTTCTTCCATAATGATAACATGCACTTAAACAAACAGGGATGAAAACAAAGTGAGTTTGGGCCACAGAGAGTTAACACAATAAAGCCCCACAGCCTTTGCTCAAACTGAGTTATGGTTTAAGAACACATTAAGTAAGAAAATAATCTTTGCTTCAAGTCCTGCTATGGTCACTTAGAGAGTTAGAGTCCTAAATGGGCATGTGGCCATCTCATAATGAATTTCCCTGCATTTGGCTCTGGCTTGACCTTTTGTTGATGGTTTTGTTTAAAGAAATTAAAAAAATATATCAAACCCAAGGTTTGAGTAGCTGCTGGAACTTCACTGCTGGCCATAGCCATGAAGGGTTCTGTATTTCAGGCCATGTTCTGGCTGTCTTAGGGATTATTGCATAGTTGTTTTTATATTTCTGCAGTCTTATAATCAAATATAATTAGCAAAAGTTAACAAAACATTCCTTAATATTTTATTGGTTTCACATGGCGTTTAAGAACAAACACACAACTTCTAATAACATGACAACCACATTACTGAGGATTGCAGAACTTCATCTATTTTGCTTTCCCTACTCAGCAGAATATTCAGTCATAGGCAAACTGTTACCTAATATACAAAGGCACAGAGATGGTTCAAACGTTCTTGTCTAGGATACAAACAGTTTGAAAATAACTCATTAGGAAGATGATATTCTATTACCTTGATGATGGAGGGAAGCCTCTTGGGAGGCTTGCAGCGTTTCAGAAAGGAGGAATAAACTGTCAAAAAGAAATCCTGTATTAGTCAGGAGGTTTAGATTTGAAATTATAGCCTTCTGGGTATGTTCTTACAAATACAACTCTTTATTTACAGGTGTTCCCAGCTCTGTTACATTGCCTATTAGTATGCAGGTCAAAGGGCATGAGATAGTAAAATTAGACACCTTCCTGCTTACTCACAGACACAAAAGAGCAAGCCCAGCCCACCATACCACACACTTTAGTGGAAGAAACTGAAGTTAGATAGTTTTGAGAAGGAAAAAATTAAAATAAGGCCAAAAGGCATTTGAAACTTGAAACCCTGATGGCAACTCCCAACTCTGTATTTCAACACTAGGGCTGGATGTACTCCTAAGGGAAATGCTAAGTTTTGGTAGCAATCTTAAAAAGAAACCAAATCCAATTTCACTTTGTCTCCCTTGGCCAAAAAAGACAGTGTGAGAGGTGCCCTAAGGTGCTATTGCTTAAAATGAGAATGTATTGGAGAACCTGCAGGGTCCCAGGGCTTCCTGTCCTTCCGCAGACACAGAGCTCCTCACTACTGCACTTCGTGAGCTACCACAGCCAGTCTGTGGGATTTGCTCTTCCTCCCATATATTGCTTGCCAACCACATCTTTATTGATAAAATACAGCTGAACTCTAATATCTCTGATGAAGAATACTCATAAGAAACAACAAAAAATAACCTGCTAGCCTGAAGAGAACAGCATAAATACCAGGCCGCAGGCCAAATTTAAATAGATCTTAATTTTTAAAAGAGCTTCTAATCACATCTGTTACATAACATCCACTATGTGCCCATCTTGTCACACAGGTCCTCTCAGGGCAGGTGTGCCCACTGCCTCCAAGAAAAACTACTAAAGCTTGAAATATGTCAGCCTTGAATAATCCATTCCTTTGAGGCTTTGCTCCATTCCAGCTTTCTTAACAGGTTGTTCAGAGCTTTGAACAGTTGAGTGTCTGCACAGAGGGAGATTTCACAGCTTCTCTGGGAAATCAGTTCCAGTATTTGACAGCCTTCACTGTCACTTTTTTCCACTTGGAATTTTTTGATTATAACTCCTATTATTTGCTCTTAGGCTGTGCACATCCCTATCTTTACAACCACCCAGTAGGGAGCTGAAAAGAGCAATATCCAATTATTCTGCTGGGACAGTAAAGTAAATAGTGCTGGCCATAGTTTTCTGTGGTTAAAGAGATTATTCTGCTCTGATGACTTTGTAGCAGACAACATTAGATGAGGAGAGGCAGATGTGAAAGGGGAACCTCACTGAGCTGGAAGGCTGATGCTCCAGAGGTTCCTCCATCCAGCAGAGCTGACTCAAACCTGCTGAACCTTTGCATGTGAAGAGCTCCAGAGCAGAGCATTGTAGAAAACGTGACTGCTTTAAGTTTTTAGGAGAAGGAGCTATTACTTGATTGAGTCACATATTCCCTGCATTTAGGAAAGAGTCAAAATTACAATCACATTTCTAGTACCCTTTTTTAAATTACCAATTTATGACAGAAGGCTGGCTTGGGCAAAGATTTCCAGTTCAAAGCAGAGCTGCCACATCTGCTTACCCTCTGTTTCAGAACATTGCCTTTATTAAGCCACTTTTCAGGATAAAATTTTACATTATTTACATTAAACCCAGAAAAAAATTGGAGTAGGTTTTCCCCAACATCTCATTACCTACTCTTTTTTTTATTGTGTAATGTCTCTCCTGATTCAGAATACACCAAATACATTAAAAAACCATTCATGTAACCATGGCTGTTTCAGCAAACAAAAAAGCCATTCAGCTGCTTGGCACTGCTCTCATGTTGGCATATTTTACAGCCCCAAATCAACCACTGAAGCTCTCAGCTGCCTGCAGCTATTTCCAAATATCAGCTATAACTGCTACTGCTTTAAAAAAAAAAGTTCCTTTCCCGTTATTTTGAATTAGTTAACACAAAATTTGATCCAAAGCAAATTCTCAACCCTAGAGTAAAAGTAATTGCTTTTCTAATCAGTCTTTTGACATTAAAGGGGAAATGTACACTAGTCAAGCAAGAATTCTAATACATTTTTAAATATTATTATTTCCATGTGTAACTTAATTTGCCCAAAAACTGTTCATTAAGTCATAGATCTTGTTTTCACTGAATTTTTCACTTTTGGTACTGAAAAAAAGCTAGCTTGTCTAAGTCATGTTTTAAAATGCTCAATATAATACATAATATAATGCTCAATACAATCTGAGTATAATCTGAAAAAAAACCCTGCTGTATTTGTTACTTTTTTTTTGCATGTGAATTATTATTTATGCCCCATGCCTGCAGTTCTCTTCTACTTCTAGTGCCCACAAAGCCTCAAGCTGAGGCAGCACAGGTGCCCCTTCCCTGTAATGCACCCACTGCACTGCGTCCTTCTGTGCACGGCAGGCACAGCTCAGAACAGCTCCATCTGCTGTGATGGACTGCCTGCCCACCCCAGCTCCTTGGGATTCCCTGTGCCTTCCTCCTGAAGCCTCTGGTGTAGGTCTTACTTCACTGAAATCAACCTTTATATGGCACAGACAGTGGAAAACTGCTCCTGGGAGAACAAAGGCTGTGACTATCCACAAAAGTACAGAACATAAAGAACAAAAAACACAGGACCACTTACCTGGTCACCTGAACAGCCGCATTTCTGTGTAGACAGACACAGGACCAGACGTGGTGTTTGATGTCCTACCAAGCACTGCAGAGTTTTAGGGGAACCCCTGTTCCTAGAAAAGCTGACAATGGACTTCACACAGACATGACACTGCCTTTTAATGACTTCCTCAAAGTCTCTATCATATCTTTTCAAGCACCCTTGAACTCTGGCTGCCTGTTCTTTGCTCACCACCTGCTGATGGTAGCCTAGGAGAGGTCCTTTTTGTCTGTTCAGAGCAGAGTTCAGCTCCTCACTTTTCACAACTCCTGTCAAAACTTTATGAGGGTTTAGGCAAGGGCAATAGGGGTGTGTTTCCAAGCAGGAGCTGCCTGTCCCCTCCCAGACAAGTCATGTGAAGCCAGTGCCATGTCACTGTTAGTGCTGGCACTGTTCCCCGTGTCTATGTGCATGCTGTTACTCAGTTAAGCACATGGAATACATCGATTCTGCAGGTAAGTTTTTCATTGTTGTACCTGAGAACAAAAAAGCCACCAACACCCTAAAGGTAAGTCGTTTTTATAATTCACCAACTCATGGCTGGAGCACAAAATAGCTACTGCCAGTGCAACTGAATGGGTCAAAGGTATTTGTTAAAAGCAATAAGGGTTACTGTGGAATTTGGCAAAACCCCAGCAGTCCAGTTTTAATACTGTTGTACTAAATCTAAAAATTACTCCAACTCTGTTGCTACATAGTGCCCTCAACCAGTAACAGGCTTTGCATGCATGGGTAAGATGAAGGCACACATAGGTTAGTATGTACTTGGGCTCAGTTGGCTTTAAGCATGATGTTTACAGACCATAAAGTGTGTAATTATGGTATTGCAGAGAGCAAGATGTAACTTACAGCGGCATCGATCTTTCTTATGCAAATGTGGCCCCAATCTGTTACTCAGCCCATAAATAGTGCCCTATTGCAAACTAAGCTCTGAGAACTGAGCGTGTTACTATCATAACTCTCCAGATCTATTTTTCCACAGGAGGAAAAACAGGGAATACTACCTCTGCCTCCCAGTTATCCTTGTTTGCCCTTCTCAAGTGAAGCAACACACGCTTTTTCTCAGTAACACCTTGTTCCAGCAGAGCTGGAACTGCAGAGAGCTCTGCAAGAGTGAACAGCGTTTAACACTGTTACTGCTTCCATCATCACTTTTTCTTGCCTAGTTCCAACTATTCCCTGGTAGGGACAGAAGTTGTAGTTCTTAGCTGTTGCTACTAATTGGTATTTATCACACAGAGCAGGCTCAACAGAGAGGAATGCGATTCCTTCAAACTATTTACTCACAAAGAGGAGGAAGTGGAAATGAGCATCTCAAGAGAGGGGTGCCATAAGGATAATGTCCTCAGCTAATCTTTCGATGTGAGCTTGCAGGGGGAGGGCTGTTCATCCAACAGCCAATAGTGAATTTCAGACCCCAGTGTTCCTTGTGAACCACAGCTCAATTCCAGCATGGGTGATCTCTGAAATATTCATACCCATAGGGACAACTCAGCACATTAGTCATATGGTTGTAAGTGCCATTAACTTCTGCTGCAATTGTGTGTCTAGCACAGATTGTCACTGATCGAACTGCTGCTTCTGCCTGCTGGCTGCCCTGTGCTGGTGTCTCCACCACAGACACTCCAATGCTGCTGCAATCTTTGCTGAGCCATGCAAGAAGTCGGACTTCTTCTCAGCAAAAAAGCTTTTTGATCAGACACAACTTTATTCACTCCCCAGAGTTTTTGTAATAGTCACTGGTTGTTTCACTGTTTGAGAGGAACTTCAGGGGAAAATCTATGAAGTATCTTTCAGGGGACTGGAAAGCCCATACTGATAGTTCCTCTAAGGCTGAACAGGCACTTGGCACACATCACCCACTGCCTAATTCCCTGCATTCTGAACCACATCTCTCACCCTCTGCCAGGGCACGTGTGCCACCACCTAGCACTGCAGTGCTTTGGGAGCACCTGTGGAACAACAGAAGGGTGAGGAAAACGTAAATTCACCTTTCAGGATTCCCACAAGGAAGTTTCCCTGTGGTGCTGTGAGTAAGCTCTAAAGAAAAGGCACAATAGGACATGCAGCTCCAGCTGCCCAGTGTGGAACCGTTGAGCTAAAGACCTTTATTCCACCTTATAATGCGGCTCTACACTCATGTGTAGATGTGAGGACTCTTCAAGACTTGCTTTGGAATGCTGGAGCTGGAGGCAACCCTGCTAACCTCCAAATACAGAAATGATGGGACTTTTTTTAAAGAGAAGGGTGCCTCTTCCAGTTATTCTGAATCTTTATTAGCCATGTCATGTTTGAAAAAAATTCTGATCTCATTGAGCAGAACGTGTCTCCAGTGCTTGCAAACATCCTTGAACAGCTTTTGTTTTACAGACAAATTTTTACACATTACAAATGTAATTTATCACAGGTGATTATTGCCTGCAACACATTTTTTATTACAGTACCAAGGCACAGATATTTACAGTGGCCTGAGGAGATGCATCCTCCCTTTTCCCCTGGATTCAACATCCCTTCGAGCACTGAGTTTACAAGCAAGAAAAATGACTCTGAACTCTTTTGGGAAATAAAAATTTCACCTTATATTTATAGGGTGCTGTAATCCAGCCTGCTGAATTTACCTGCTAACAACACAGATTTCCTTGTACAAAACCCCAGACTCAACTGACCACGGGAAGAAAGGTGGTTACTTTCTGGCAGTGTAGCATATTGCATGTTGCATAAATTGCACAACAGCAGAGACTGCAGAGATAAGGCAAAACAGTAACTCTCTATCACCCCTGAAGATAAAACTCTGAATCAAAATAATGCACAATAAAGGGAATGTACCAAGATGCTGACAGCAGCAAGGTCACTCAACACAGCAACTCTTGACAAACCCTCTTCTTTTCTAAAGGCAGCATTTCTGCTGAGGCATGAACATTAAACCTGAGACACTGAACGGTGTCTGACGTGTGAAAGATACCAATATCTGCTTTTCCAGATACTTTGATCAAAATGCTGGGCAAGTAGCCAAGATTCAGGGAAAGACTCCCATATGGTGGGCAGACAATCCAGTACCAGAACATATATATTTATAGAGGCACATATTTTAGAGATATTTTATAGATGCAGATTATAGATATAATCTACGTATAGATATATATAATCTATATAATCTAGAGATACAGATTATATATATCTATATGTTATCTAGATATATAGCTGTATCTATAATCTAGATATATAGATATAATTTATTGATTATATATTTTATATATTTTAATATATATTTTACAACAGATGCAACCCTGTCCAGAAGGATGACAGTCTAAAATAAAGGAAATACGATCTAAGTTTAATTAGTAGACGAGCTTCCAAATGAATTGCCTATGTACCACCAGCATCAGCCAGCAAAGCAAGCGCTGTCAGCGTGTTACACAACCAGTAGCTGCTTTACCAGCTACAACCTTCTGTTGCTAACGTAATGTAAATTCCATTCCTGGAACAGGAGAAGCCTAAAAGTCTGCAGGTGTAGTAGTAAGGACTTAAATGACTTCTAAGCCCCTGCAGGAAGAAGCAGAACTTGCTCCATTAATAAGCTTAATACGCACTACACCGTAGGAGCAGCGCGTGCCCGGCCAGCAGCTTTAGGAAATGCCCTTTGGAACACAAACCCTCATCCCGCTCCCACCCGGCGCGCCCGCGGCCTGGGAGCCCGGGGGGGCTCGGGCCTCACCCCGACCGGGACCCCCTCACCTCCCCTCGGTCAGGGAGGGGCGGCCGCTGCTTCTTTCGGGGACGCTCAGCCAGGGCCCGGCGCAGCCCGTGTCCCGAGGGATCGGGGTGCCAGGGGCTCCCCATGCTGGAAGCCCACCGCAGCCCCGGCGGGCGTTATGGCGACGCCTCCCTCAGGGAGCGGAGACACCCAGCTCCTTCATCCCTCCCCCCCCCCCCGCCCACAGACTTTGGACTCGCCCGCCATTCGCAGCGTGGGTAGCCCGGGCGAGCCCACTGCGGGAGCGGGGGGGGGAACCAGCCGAGCAGATGTCCCGCCCCGTCGCGCGCGCCGCCGGCTCCGCCACGTCTCGCGAGAGGCAAAGCGGCGCGAGCGGCGGAAGCGCCGCCCCTCGCGGCGGGGCACTCGGAGCCGGCGCGGGGCGGGAGCGGCGCGTCCCGGCCGCCACTGCCGGGAGGTACTGGGGAGCGGGGCGGGCACCGGCACTGCTACTGCCACCGGCACTGCCACCGGCACTGCCACCGGCACTGCCGCACGCACTGCGGCTGCGGGGCCGCCCCTGGCGCTGGGCCTCCCGCTTGTCGGCCGCGCCGAGCCGCGTCCGGCCGCCCGCCGGCTGTGAGGGGCCCTGAGGTGACCCGGCCGCGCTGCGGCAGTGCGCTCGGCCCGCCGGTGGCGCAGGGCCCGGCCGGGCCCGCTCGCAGACGCCTGGCGGCGGTTCGCCGGGGTTATTTATTGCGGGAAAGCGGCACCAGCCGGTGGCTCCGCCGAGCTGGAGCGCTGCCGGTGGTTCCAGCCGGAACAGCCCGCCGCAGTGTGTCCCGAGTCACAGCCCAGGGGGAAGAAGCCCAGAGTGGGTTGGGAGGGACCGCAGTGGGTTACCTGGTTCAATCTCCCTGCTCAAGTGTGGTCATCCCAGAGCATGTGGTACAGGATTGTGTCCAGGCGGTTCTGGAAAATCGCCATTGAGGGAGCCTCCAAAACCTCTCTGGGCAAGCTGTTCCCATGCCCGGTCCCTGCACAGTTTTTGCTCATGTTCTTCCTCATGTTCAGGGGAAGCTTCCTGTGGCGAGCATGACTTGCTGCCCATTGACTCTTGTTCTGTCGCTTGGCATCACGAAGATGAGCCTGTCTCCATCTTCTTGGCTCCCCTCTTTAGATATTCCTACTCCTTGAAACTCCACCCAATGAGTATTCTCTCTAATGCATTCTGTTACTGTGTTTAAACAGTTGTCTTCATCATAGAATCACAGTGGGGTTTGGATTGGAGAGAACCTTCAAGATAATCTCATTCCTCCCCCCAGCTGTGGGCAGGGACGCCTTCCACTAGACCAGGGTGCTCAGAGCTCCATCCAGCCTGGCCCTGAACACTTCCAGGGATGGGGAAATATCCCTGGAGTGAAGGTTGAGGGTTACAGATGAGGATTCCCTGCCTGTACATCTTGTGCCCAAAGTGTCAAAGCTTATGCCAGGAAAAGGAAGATAGGAATAATGATTCTACTGTTATTGTGCTGTTGACTGTTGATTGTGCATCTGCTTTTATATTGTGAACAGATGCTCTTGATTTCATTCAGCATGTTTACAAAAAGTGATAAAGCAGGAAAATTTGGTGTAAACTTTAAACGGGTTGTTTGAAGGTGAAAATGGTAGTGTGACTGACTCCTACAGATCATTTATTCACATGTTATTCTTCCTTCACTTAAAGCATTATTTATTTATCTCTTTAATGCAGCACACTGATAAGATTTCACAGCTTGTGATCCTGCACTGTCATTTGAGTTCAGCATCAGCTGCCTTTTTTCTGGTCCCTGCAAGATGCCAGCAGCTCTTGCAGAAAACAGCCAGGTTATCTGTGAAGTATGGGCCAACAACCTGGAGGAAGAGATGAGGAAAATTCGGGAGATTGTTCTGAGTTACAGCTACATTGCCATGGTAAATGTTTTATACTTGACCTAATTGCCTTAGTCAAGGGATTTTTTGGGGTTGTGGACTAAGTTGATTCTTGAGTGAGAAATGTTTCTCCCTACCCCCAGACAATTTGAACTAGAAGAGGTGAAAAACTAAAAAGCTGTTTGGTAGCTTTTCAGAATTTAATACAAGCAGTGATGAGTATGGGTTGATTGAAAGAAGGGGAAGAAGGAGACCAACTTAAAAACATGAATTTATTTAATCTTTAGCTATTCAGACTGTATTCATTTGTGCAACAGTAAAATTAAACAAGTAACAATTGGGTTAAAATCCTTATTTCTCCATTTGATTATAGACAATGCCGTGGGAGTGGAGGTCAAAAGGCTTGCAAGTCACTGCTAGCAGCTGGGCTGCCTCCTTTCAAATGAAGGCAGATGTTGATTCTTAGGGAAGAAAAATATTATGGCTGTCGATAAGACAATATGTTCAGAAAGCTTTATTTAAGAAGAGCATAATCTCCCCTAGGTGGGAGGAATCTCCTCCTGCTCTTACAAGTCTGTATCTGCTTGGCAGCACCCCAGTGTGTTAGATAAAGAACTGGTTTTAGCTGTGGTACTGTAAGTTCTGCCAGCTTTGCTTAGGAGCACTGAACCACAAAATATGAAAAGTCCTCATTAAAAGTGTGGCAAAAGACAGGTGCCTTTGCAGAGTGGGGGGGATTTTGGTGTCAAATTCAGCTGTGGAAGTGAATATGATTTTTTTGTTAACATTTGTCAATGGGAAATGAACTTTTTGCTTCTTTTCAGTCTCACTGAAGGTGTTTTTAGGGTTTGAGTGACTGTGCTGTACGAGTAGACAGATAAACTTCTTGGGCAAGGGAGAGATTATGTCAGGTGCACAGCACTGGCTTCATTGTGACAGATTTTGTGTGTAGTCAGCAGAAGCTCAGTGACCCAGTCTGAGGATAGGAACAGTGGCAGTTTGGTGTTCAGCACAGACTGCACACAGTCACTGGCTGGGTAAGAGGTTTTTTCACCTAACAGATGGTTTTTATCTGATAGGTGGCTGCTGTTGTTGTTGTGTGTTTGACTGACAGCAGTTTTTGTTAATGTAGGCATTGTCTGTTCCTCAGAAGCTGTGAAGGTTTTCACTGTCTGGGCTGCCCTAACAGAGTGGTAATAATGACTGCTGACAGAATCCATGGTGGAACTCAGTTTTCCCTTCTCTGCCAGGACACGGAGTTCCCCGGAGTCGTTGTCAGGCCGATAGGTGAATTCCGCAGCTCCATAGATTATCAGTACCAGCTCCTTCGCTGTAACGTTGACCTACTGAAAATCATCCAGCTGGGCCTGACTTTCACAAATGAGAAGGGGGAATACCCTTCTGGCATTAACACCTGGCAGTTCAACTTCAAATTCAACCTCACGTGAGTCTTTGGGCTTGGCATTAATTTCCTGTTCTTTCTGCTGGAGCATGCTTTCCTTTGGCAAATACCAGTGTCCACGTGCTCATCACTGCTGGCTTTCTGAGCAATAAGGATTCAGGTTCTAGTACAGACTGTGTGGGAACCTAGTTTGGAGTGCCAGGAGTTAACAGTGTATCTGGAAGTCAAAGCCATGATAAAATTCTATCCTCATTATCCTTTCTCTTAATAATTTTGTGTGCCTTTTTTTCCTGGAACAAGGTTTGAGACTTCATTTATATATATATCTATGTAAAACTCCATTTCTTTCTGCTAAAAATAAGTGGATGTGCTAGTCTCATCAAAAAGAAAAAGACCTCTTTACAGATCCATGCTTAAGTATAAGCTGGGATCTAAAAACATGTTGGTGTAATCATCACATCTGTTCAGGAGAATGAATCTTGTTAAATGGAGTGTGGCAGTTCTTGTCTCCTCCATACTGTAATATCCTGGGCTGCAGCTGAAACAAGTTTCATTATCCCTTCCCCTGTAATTATAAAGATAAACTCAGCATAATTACCACTAAAGCTGTCTGGAAATAAAGAAAGGGTTTATCTGGCAAAACCACATATGTAGAGGAAATCAATCTATTTTTATGAAACTGTCATTGGAAAGAATTACAAAAATTTGTAGCTACTATGTGCAGATCATCCAGTTCTTGACCCCAAAAGTTGCACTATTTACTCCACAAATTGTGAGCTTCTTACAAGTATTGAAATCAGAGTGAAGTGGCTCTGTGATCACTTAATTTATGAGTTGTCATAAATGAATATGAGTTATCATATTGATAGAACTTGGCTCTATGTGTTTTCTCTCCCTCAAATGACACAAACCAGTAAAGAAGTCAGGTTCCTGCTCAGCTCTCCACCAAGCACATGATTCTTGTCCTTCTTGAGTCAAGGATGATGCAATTCTGTTTACTCCCAGAGATGGAGGTGAAGTGCTGATAAGGTGGTACATGCTGTGGAGTGAAAAGGAAAAATGTAGACCGGAATGCTGGCCAATGCTTTAGAGCTGCACATCTTCCTGTTTGGGAGAACTCCCCTTTCCTCTGAGCCTCATCTGTGGTGCTTCCCTTTACCTTGCAGAAGGGACATTGTTCAAAACAGTCAGTTTCAGTCCTATGGAGGTGGAATCTTTGGAATTTGCACTAGCAATGGTAGTGTTAACTAGTTAACTAGTTAGACTGATCACAGAACAGCTTGTTATGGATGTAGGAGGCTGCAGTAGTGGTATTGAAACTGAGCCAGTTTGAAATTTCTAGAGAGACAAACTGGAACTGAGAGTTACCCTACTGGTTACTCCAATTCTTGACATAGTGTGGGGAGAATTTTTCTAAAATGAGCTTGTCTTGGCAGCACCCTGAGTGCAAACTTGCTTTTTTTTTTTTCTTTCAGGGAAGACATGTACTCTCAGGATTCCATAGACCTCCTTGCCAGTTCTGGGCTGCAGTTCCAGAAGCATGAAGAAGAAGGGATTGATACCTTGCATTTTGCTGAGTTGTTGATGACGTCGGGTGTTGTCCTCAGTGACAGTGTGAAATGGCTGTCCTTCCACAGGTGGGTCCAGGATGCTTACTGACCCTGCTACATCTCCTCTTAATTTTCTGCATTTTCTATGGAGATTGACAGATTTTAAGGAGAAAAAGTAGTAGTCTTGCAGTTCTTAAAATAAGCTTCAAGATATAAAGGCCAAGTTTAAGAAGTAAGGACACTTCATGGTCTGACTTCCTGACGGCTTGTGAATCTTTTTGCTGTTAGTCTCCCTCTCTTGAAGAAGTTGAAATGTGATTTCTGCACTTAGTAAATGCATTGTAGA